CAGCCTCTCGAGTAGCTGGGATTACAGGCATGCACCACCACGCCCAGCTAATTTTTTGTATTTTTAGTAGAAGTGGGGTTTTACCATTTTGGCCGGGCTGGTCTCGAACCCCTGACCTCAGGTGATCCACCCACCTTGGCCTCCCAAAGTGCTGGGATTATAGACGTGAGCCACTGTGCCTGGCCACAAAAATCAGTTTCTGTTGCTTGCCTGCTTTAAGATGCTCTTGGGGTTTCCCAGTGCCCCTAGCCCCCGACTTGGCCCACAGTCTGCGTGTGGCTCCCCCTTGAAGCTCTTTCTCTCTACTCCAGCCCCAGCAGCCTCCTTTTGGACTTTTTCTCCCCATTTAAGAGCATCTCCCCCTTCTAGCTCCTTGGCCAACTTCTGTCTGTCTTTTAGTACCCAAGTCAAAGAGATTTCCTCAAAGAGGTCTTTTCCTTGTTGAAATGAATCCCGTTATAATTTCCCAGAGCAGCATTGTGTCAGGACAGCTATGGCAGAGCTAGAGAAAGGTTCCTTTCTCTCTTTTGTAAGCGAAGTCTGGAAGTCAGCAGTGCCAGACTCCTGAGGCACCTCTGTCAGCCTCAGGAACCCAGGCTCCTCCCTTGCTCCATGACTCTCAACATGTGATGTACCTCTCATAGACCCAGAAGGCTGCTCCAGCTCCAGCCATCACATCTCCCTTCCAATGGGAAGGAGGGAGGAAAAGGAAGGAGAGGCTCACCTCTCCAACCATAAAATACTTCTGAGGAAGTATGGTCTGTTTATGTCCCTCCGAAATTCATATATTGGAACCTAATTCTCAGTGTAATAGTGTGAAGAGGTGTGGTGTTTTAAGTTATGAGAGCGGGACCCTCCCAAATGGAATTAGTGCCCTTATAAAAGAGGCCTGAGGGAGCGTGTCCATCCTTTCCACCATATAGGGACATGTAGCAGGCTCCATCCATGAGGAACAGGCCCTCATCAGACATCAAATTGGTGCCTGATCTTGAACTTCCCAGGCTTTAGAACTGTGAGCAATAAATTTCTATTGTTTGTAAATTACCCAGTCTAAGTCATTTTCTTATAGCAGCCTGGATAGACTAAGACAGAAGTCACATCTTTACTTCTGCCCAAATTCCTTTGGCAGGAACTGTCTTGTGGCCACACCCAGCTGCAGAAGTGGCTGGGCAGTGTGCATGATGGCTGGACTCAGCTGAAAAGGAGGAGAGAATAGATATTGGGAGATGAGTGTGTATGTGCCCGGACCCTGTGTGTGCCTGCTTCTTTCCTGCAGGATCTGTAGTCATATGTTCATGTAGCACTGGCCGGGTTATTTCATATTTCCCCACGACTAAGTTGGGGCCTAGTGAGCAGGGAGCCCCCACTTGCTCACAGGGGTCCCCCATGCCTGGCACAGTGTCTGGGATACAGTCAGTAAAATCTCAGGAAGTATTTGCTAAACAGGTAGATAAAACTAGTCCTGGATTCCTCCCTTTGCTCTCCTCCAATCAAGCCTTTGGGATAGAGCCCCTTCCTCCACATAGCAAGCCTTTTATTCTCTCTGGAGGGTTCTGGGGCTTTCCTTCCAGGGGCTTCATGCTTCCAGCTGCTCAGGGATTGGGCCCTGATGTTCAGACCCCTCTCCTTCCTGACGGCTGCACAGGGATTATAGCACAGGGTTTGATGTGCAGATGCTAGGGGGAGGGGGAGGGCTGATATGAATCAGAACTGACAGATTCCAGCGTGAAGACGGCCCGAGTCCTGAGAACACCAGCAGCCTAATTGGCAGTGCTGTACATCAGTGCTTCTCAAGCGCAGTTCGGCCGAGAATCACCTGGGGAACTTGTTAAAAATACAGAACTTCTGAGTCAGTAGGTTTGGGGTGATATATTTGGTTGCAAGTGACATAACGCCAACTAGCTTAGGCAAGAAGGGAATTGACTATGAGGGCACAGGGACTTCTCCTGGAACTGTGAGGAGGCTGGGGCATACTGGCGGCTGGCCAAGAACCCCGATGCCTTCAGGGCTGCCCACTTCCCTGGTCTTCCAGTTCTGAAGTGCACTGAGGAGCAGCCCCCACCCCAGAAGGAGTGATCCCTCTCTCCATGGGGTTTCTGCAAGAAAAATCCCTGGGGAGGACTCAGATTGTCCCGACCTGGGTGTGCCCTAGAAGTGCTGCCAGGGGGGCTGAGTTCTTTGACTGATTGGGGCCAGTGTAGGGGCACAGGGCATGTGGAGGGCCCCCTGAGGACTCTGCAGCCTCATGCATTGGGGCGGTTCCGGTGGAGGAATTCCTGGAGCTAGGCACTGGAGCCAGCTGCCTCTCTCTCAAGCAGAAACCAGGGAGTCCTAGTTTTCCAAAGCTTCTAGGGACCAGGGATGCACAGCCAGACTGGGGGCTCACCTTTGCAGAATAAGAGGGCAGAGCCACGGCTGAAGACTGGAACCTGAGACAAACACCTCCAAATTGCTCTCAAGGGTGGGACAGGAGAAGCCCCCACTGCTTGCTGCAGGCCTGGTTGTTAAAGGGCCAGGAGGGTCAGGCACTAGCCGGAAGGATCTGTGGGTGGAGATGCCACATGGCTTCCTCCTGAGAGTCACAAAGCAACAAGGGGGGAGTCTGTACTTCCCTTAGATTCAGTGGCATGGGGGCAGCATGGCAGGAGCCTGGACGTTAGATGGGGAGACAGCAAGTCCTGGGGGCCCTGGGGGCTGGGCCAGAGGGTCAGGACACCAACATCCTCCTCCTCCCTGTCTTCCAGTGGGTCTGCAGCACACCTATCAGTCTCCCAGGGTTCTTCTTAAAATGCACGCTCCCAGGCCCCATGGAATCAGACTGCAGGGCTGTGCCCAAGGAAGCTGCATTTTAACCAAGCTCCTCAGGGTGGCAGTCACAATCCCTGTCACCTGCCCAGGATCGTTTGCGAACCATGGTATTTGACCCACCCCCCACCTTCATGGTGCCCTGTCCTGAGCCCCGAGCACTGGCCCTCTCTCTGTGCCTCTGTATGTCCAAGGTGCCGGGCAGCAGGGGCAGCACCAGGGGTAGGTGTGGTGGGGAAGGAGCTGCAGCAGAACCGAGGCTCTCTTACTGCCTGGCTGAGGTCCAGAATCCTCCAGGAGCCAGGGTGCCTGGGGAATGGGGCCCGGTGTGCAGCACCTGCCCCCGAGGGACAGACAGTTTTGGACCTGGTTGCTCCTGCACAACCTTTTCGAGTCGCTGGGCCCCTGAAGCCCTAGCAAGGGTGCTCCCTGCGGGTGGATGGAGCCCTGAGCCGACGGTTCACTGTGAGAGGAGGTGAGGCTCCAAACTGGCCGACATGTCAATCTAGCCCTGGGATGTTTTATTTGGCCTGCAACATGCTTTGAAAAAGGAATTGGTTAATAATATTTAAAACTCAAAAATTCAGCATTAAAAATTCTTATTTCCAGTTCCTTTTGGAAACTTGGCAGAGTTTGCCTGCCTGGGCCCCCAATGTACCTGAGGTCAGGGGTGGGGGGCTCGAGCTCTGCAGCCCCACCCCGCTGGAGTCTCACATTGCTTCTTCCTGCTGCTGGCCTGAAGACTTTGAGGTTCCGACCCTGGCCAGACGTCCAGCCCTTGGTCTGCCAAGAAGTTATGATTGCTGTTCTCGCTGTCATCACGGTCACTGTTTGTCCTTAGAGCTATCACTCCCTGCACACATACATGCACCGTCAGAGCCTCACTCCTCACCCACTGCACACATGCATTCTCAGAGCCTCACTCCAGCAATTACACTGGGCAGGGCCTATTTGCCCTTTTTATATATGGGAAAGCTGAGGCCCAGAGTGGCTACGTGACTCTCTGTAGTGGTCAGTGGCAGAGCAGGTGCTGTGATCTAAGTTTGCTTGGCATGCTACCTCTGAGAGGGACCTGAGCTTTGCCCATGTCCTCTGACCCCTGACTTCTGATCTAAGTGTTTTTACTCCTGTGGCCCCTTCTCCCAGCCTCTAGCCTAATGCCAGATGCTAAGAGCCCAAGAGTTTTGGGCCTGGGTGGGGTGGGGGCTCAGGCACAGAGCCAAGGGCCAGAGAGGAGGCCCCAAGGCTGACCTGCTCACCAGGCCCCTCCCTCCACCCTCTGCATGGCTGCCACTGAGTCGGGGGCAGCTGCAGGTGCCCATGCCCTGTCCTGATCCTCAGCCCTAAGCTGGAACCCCAGGGCCCTCCTGATCCTCCTCCATGTGCTTTGAGGGGAGCCTCTCTTCCCTATTGTCTGCTAGGGTGGCTGGAATTCCACCACTGTCACCTTTTAGGTGACAGTGTCCTTCTCACTTTTAGGAAGGAGTAAGAGGTCTGGGAAGAAGCAGAGTGGCCATCCAGAGAGACATCCTCATCACAACGACCTCACCTCAGGTCGGCTATGGAGGAGTACGGCAAAGGCAAGAGAGGCAGAGCCTGTGCAGGAACCAGCAGGCTGCTTTGGCGGGGGTGCGGTGTCTGGTCAGGGGAGAAGCCTACTGGGGCGGGGATAGAGGAGAAGGACAGGCAGGCTGGCCTTGAGGGGCCCTGAGAGCCTGCAGTGACCAGGCCAGGTACTGTAGCTCCCGCTGCCTCCTCTTCCCTCCTCTCTGTCACCCTCAGTCCGTCCCCTCCTGCCCGTGCCCCTCTTCTCCCTCTGTCCATTCCCTCTGCCCAGCCCCATCTGTCTCCTCTCCACTGCGCCGTGTGTCTGTCTTTTCTGTCTCTCTGGGTTGGTGTCTTCCTGCATCCGTGTCTGTCTGTCTGTCACTCTGCATGTCCATCTCTTTCTTGCTCTGCCTGTGTTTCATTCTGCCCATCCACTCTGGCATCTGTGGGTTTTCACGTCGCTATCTCCCTGGGGGTCTTTGTCTCTTTGTGCTGGGTCTTTTTGCTCTTCTCTCTCTGTCTCTCTCATCTCTGCCTCTCTGTGTCTCTGTTTTCCCCAAGGGTGTGTGTGTGTGTCTGTCTGTCTGTCCATCCACCGGCTCTCAGGCAACTGAAAATACCCCCTGCGTCTCATTTGATGTGCAGTTGTGAGATTCCCTTTGAATATTGCAGCAGTGAGTTGACGGTTGCCAAGGGAACAGGTCAGGAGAAATGGGGGGACTGAAGGGGGTATCGGGAGCCAGGCAGGGGGTGTGGGTATGCTTTTCTGTTTTCATCTTCTTTGGTGCTTTCCTTTTCCAAAGCATAAAAAAGGGCGACAATTTAAAATGATTTTTCAGGAATCAACACGACAGAAATAATGGCTCCTAATTGTGTTGGACTAAAAGCCAGGCAGGGAGAGTGGCAGTTCCCCCTCCTGTGCCTGGAGGGAGTTAATGGCCAGATTCTGGGAGTGGGGTGATTAGAGGGCCTGGAAGCCACTTTGCCTGGCACCTGGGACTGGCATGGCCCACAGCTGACTCCCCCTGCTCAGCTCTGAGCGCAATTTCAGAACCCCTAAGCCTGGAGTGTCACAGCTGGATGTGAGATGAGGTTTTTGTGGCCACACATGGAGGTGGGGGGTGCATTGGACCTACTGCTGGCCTTTTAGCCAGAGGTGGGGGCCAGGGCTGGGAACAAGAGGTGGGTAGAAGAGGCCAGGCTCTGGCCATTCTCAGACCAGTCACACATTCCGGTTTTCCCAGGCAGTTTTGCAAAAGCATCCTTGCTCTCCTCTGCCCAGCCCTAATTTGGTCATCATGGGGATTAACAGAGATGATCCCTGCACAGCACCCACTACAGTGCCACAGTGACCTAGCCGTCCACGCACCATCCTCTGCTGTCCAAGAGAACCCTGTGAGCTTGGACTGGACTTGAGCCATCTGCCTCTGGCATGGCCGTGGTTGTTTCACCAGCATTTACTCACTTGTACACCAGAGTCTTCTGTGAGTAGGATGTGGGTTTGTGCAACAATAATGGTTACTTATTAGCTATATAATGAGTAGGAATTATTAATGGACTTGTTTTCTTGTGTCCTTTTCTAAACTGCATATGAGCCCTTATCCATTTAACTTGCATGGTAAATCTTTGACATAGGGACTATTATTGTTCCCATTTTGCAGATGAGAAAATTGAGGAATTCGGCAGCTATGATACAGAAATGAAAGTGCAATCATTGGGGCAAATGCAGGAAGTCAGGGGATCAAAGAAGCAGACGAGGTCTGAGCAGGGTCTGGCAGGTTGTGTGGGTGACTACTGGGTGCATTGTGTGAGGGTGGGTTTGGAGGGCAGCATGCATGGACAGCCGACAGGTGTAGAGGTGGGTGTGAGGCCCACCTGGGAAGATTAGGAAGGACCTAGAATGGCGCGAAGGCCCCTTGCAGGGATGTTGAGCACCTATATCATCTTCCCCACCCCCCGTCGCCTGTGAAGAACTGAGTTGAGGAACAAGGCTGTCACCACCCTGGTGATTTCCAGCCTCGCCCAGCCATTGATTCTGCGGGACCAGACTGCAGGGAGCCAGCTCCGTTCAACATGAACCCCCCAGGAGCGCAGGGTTTCTCCCTTCACCCACCTGCCCCTCGTCCTCCCCAGTCAGCCTGAATCCTGTCCTCTGTCCCTGTGTCCCCATTTGCTTTGACCCCATCTGTCCCCACTAGTTGTCCTACATCTTTCAAAGAGATGCCTGGTGAGGGTGGGGCTAGGTGGTGGGGACAGTGCCATTGCTGTGTCCTGGAGCCTGTGTGTGACTCGGTAGCCTCTCCTCAAGGTGGATGTTTCTCCCCTTTTGTCAAGCCCAGGTCCAAGCAACTCCAAGTGCCAGCCGATGCTGCCCAGGGCTTCTGAGCTGTGTTTCTCACAATCCGTGGGAAACATGGTCCTGCAGCTTCCAGCATTGGGTAGGAGGGAGCCAGAATTGGAGACAAGACTGGGATAAGGACGCAGACAGGGGCTAAGCTCTCTGCGGAGGCTGCACGTGCAGAGGCTGCACCTGCAGAGGCTGCACCTGCAGAGGGGCATGATGGGAGGACAGTGTGGGGCCCAGTGTCAGGAGAGCTGCAGTGAAGAGGTGCCGTGGGCCTGGGCGTGTGGGAAGGTCTTGGAAAGGTGGAGAGAAAGAAAGGGAATGAGCACCTCCTGGGGCTCTCTAGTAGCCTGGACCTGCGCCCCAGTGCATGATAATCGAATTAGGACTGACTGACACCCTTAGTGACTTATTTTGGCAACTGGCCTTCCCTTCTCATGGGCTTCCCAGTACTAGTTAGGAGCCTGAGTTTTAGAGAAGTGCTCTTTAGTTTTTGTATTCTGATGTTTTGGGCTTTGCTGACTCTAGAGGGACTATCCATTCCAGTTCCTAGAGATAGATGTCTCCCTGCCAGTATGCCTTTTATATGGAAACCACCCAGTCCAGAACCCACATCCAGCCAGTGCCTCTCACACTCAGGACAGTGGTGTGACACTGTCCTGTGTGTGACACTGTCCTGTGTGTGACAGTGGGGTGACACTGTCCCCCTGCCCTAGACCCTAGGGTCAGGATCAGACACCCAGGGACAGCCCTGTGCCTCAGAGCTCCCAAATTATTCAAATTAATTTACCTGACACCTGCTCACCCACCTCACGGTTTCTTCTTGCATATTCTGTAATGGAGACTCCTGCCCAAGTCCTCTCTCCCTCTGTCTCCTACCGACCTGCTGCTTCTCTGTGGGGCCCTGCATGGTGCACTCACTCCTGTTCCTCAAAATCTGTGAGTAACCAGTCCTATTTCCAATGGCAGTCGGCTTTCTCTGCTGGCCTCACCACACTGAGCATTTAACACAGCCTCCCAGGGTGTGCGCCAGGCCCCTCCATGTGTCCCTGCAGGTCCACTGCCTTTTTCCTCTGCTCAGGGCCCTGGAAGCCTGTCCTTGGGGAGGATGACATCTGCAGGCTCTGGGCTTCCAGCTTCCATAGCTTTGGAGACACCAGCCAGAAGCCTAAGGGCAGGCGGAGGGTGAGGTTGGGGGGATTATCCATGTACCCCTCCCTGCAGGATGTGGGCTCTCAGTTCCTCTGCAGTGGCCACAGCTCTTCTTGGGTGACCTGCTCCTGTAGAAGTTCTTTCTCTGGGTTCTGGGATTCGCTTTCTCTTCTCACCTTGCAGGTCTTGGCATGGCAAGAGCTTCCTGCTGTCGCTGGCCCCAGGTGCTTCACCATCACCATTTCCCTGAGCCCTGATCGCTCTGTAAATGGTCCTGAGTGAAATGCTCCTCTATTTTTTCACTGGCATGAGTTCTGGTCTCCTGCCAGCCCTGATAACAGGGATGACAATGGCAGGGCTGGGCTGGGCAAGGGGTGGGGGTGATCCTGAAGCATTAACCTGGGAAGCTATCTTTCATCTTAAGAGAGTTTTCTTGTTGATACTTCAATTAAACTATTCCAGGACAAATCCTCAAAATGTGAAATTATATGGATCAGATGGGAGAAAATAGGTATACCCATTCACCTTCTTCAGTTACTTTTTTCCTTTTTTAGAGAGATAATTGGGACTAAGTGTTTCCCAAAATGTGTTAATTCTTCTACCACCTCCACAATTTTTGCCATATCTGCACACCACCTGTATGATTATTTATCTAATAATTTCCTTTCACTCAGCTTACTTTTTGAAACAGTCAGGTGTATATAATTTACATAATTGGAGATATAATTTACATACAGTGGAATTTACCCCTTTGAAGCATGAGGTTTAGTGAGTTTTAACAAATGCACACAGTCACGTGACCACCGCCACCACCGAGACCCAGACTGGTGCACTGCTCCCATGCTTCCCTGGTGCCTCTCCGTAGTCAGACCCATCTGCCACCCAAGGCCCCGGGCCACCTGATCTGATTCCTGTTCCCAGGGTTCCCCACGGTTCTGCCTTTCCCTGAACTTCATGTGAATGGGGTCATACAGTGTGTGGATTTCATGTCTCACTCCTTTCACTTAGCGAGATGCTGCCACCGCTAGTTTTTTTTTTTTCTTTTTTGAGGTGGAGTCTTTCTCTGTCACCCAGGCTGGAGTGCAATGGCACAATCTCGACTCACTGCAACCAACCTCTTCCTCCCAGCTTCAAGTGATTCTCCTGCCTCAGTCTCTCGAGTAGCTGGATTACAACCATGCAACACCAAGCCTGGCTAATTTTGTATTTTTAGTAAGGACAGGGTTTCGCTATGTTGGTCAGGCTGATCTCAAACTCCTGACCTCAGGTGATCTGCCTGCCTCGGCCTCCCAAAGTGCTGAGATTACAGGTGTGAGCCACTGTGCACGGCACACCTTTTCTTTTTTTTAAATTATTTTTTATTTTTTTATTTTTTTATTCAGTCTCCATAGAGACTCAAAAATTGCCAATGCCAACTATATTTCAAGTCATCATGGTGGGGTATTGGGAAAAGTTTTCAATTAGCAATAATTGCGCCTCGGATAAACCTCATTGGCTATGATATTGCCATTGCACAAAGCTACACCTTTTCTTTTTTTAAATCAAGCTAAAACCAAAATCACAATGTATTCATTCTATTGTTCAACATTCTTGTTTCTATATGCTGTGTTTACATTGGGTAATTCAACAAACCCATAGCCTGGCTTTTATTTTGGAATATTTCCAGGCAGTAGAATTCTCCCTTCTTAGTTGTGACAAATGCGTACAGTCACGTATCCACCATCACAAGCAAGGTACAGACAGTGCCGTCGCCCCAAAACCTCTGGGGTCTCCCTTTGCCATCAATCACTTCCTCCTCTCCAAACCCACTCCTTGCAGACACTGAGCTGACATCCCTCCCATAGGATTACTTTTGCCAGAGTTTCTTATGAGTGGAATAGATGTGGACTTTCGAGTTTGGTGTCTGTCACTGAGCATGTTTTTGAGATCCCCCATAGTCCTTCATGTATTAATATTTGTTTCCTTTTATGACTGAGTACTATTTTATTGTACCAATGTGTCGCTATCCCTTAGTCCATTCACCAGCCAGTGGACACTTGGGTTGTTTCTGGTGTGGGCTCGTTATGAATAAAGCTGCTATTAATATTTGTACACAGGTCTTTGGCCACATGTGTTCATTTACCTCACCTCGCACAGAATTGCAGGATTATATTGGAAATGTATGCATAGCTTTATAAGACATGGCCCAACTATCTTCCAGCCAGG